AGACCCTCTATGAGGTGGATTGATTCAGTGACTGGGGTAATCGGGATGGGTATGTCAGAGGCAGTGCAGTTGGCACAGGATAGAACAGGGTTTAGGGCTGTTGTACATAGGGTTGCTATGAGTCGCAAATGACTCGACGGCACATAACAACAACAAACAACAACAATTAAAAAGAGGAGAAATGGGATTTTACCTGGCTTCAAGCTATACAGGCAACTTGATTTCCTTATCATGCAATAATCTTAAAAAAACCTTTATTTTACAAACTCCCTGTCAAATAAAAAAGCTTAGAAGAATTGGGCCTTCCTCACTTTTGGAACATAAATAATAATCAATATAAGAGAGTGATATATATTTGCATTACTCTAAAGAATAACATGTAAAACAAACAAAGCATAGTTCAATAAATATTTAGCATTATTTAGTTAGATTGTCAATTATTTATATGCCATAATAAAAAATATAAGGATCTCTGGTGGCATAGTGTATATTATTCTGTACTGTTAGCCGAAAGGCTATGCATCTCCAGTTCAAATCCACTAGTAGCTCCATGAGGAAAAGATGAACATTCTCCTCCATTTACAGCCTCAGAAATCTGATGGGAGTTTTCTATACGTCAGAATAGACTTAATGGTAGTCACTTTGCCATAGAGCACAGAACAATAAGACATATGTACATGTAAGAGTCTATTAATTTGCCCCAATTCTTCAGAAGTTTTGACATCTCTTTTCTTAATATCCTCTTTCTTTTCCTCCTTTCTTTCACCATCTTTCTCTTCATTACTTCATCTCTACATCCCCCATCATATATATATACACACACACATATATACATATATATTTATATACATATATATTTATATACATATATTTTTTTATTTTTTTATTTTTTTATTTTTTAAAAAAGAAAACACTTAATAAAAAAAATGAAAGAGCTGCCCCAATGAACCTGAGCATCTAGTTCAGGATTCTAGTAATTACAGGGCTACATAATTCCTCATGCAACATATCATATTACATAAGAAAATGAATGGTAATAATAATAAAGATGAAAGTTTCAACATTCTTCAGAGAAATAAAGGTGAGTTTCATAGGGAAATTTGAGAGAGAAAGCTACATTTTTACACCTGAGGTCCCACAATGTATGTGTGAGTGCTTTTTTTCAATACCTTAAAATGATTCAACCTGGAATTTATGAATTCACCTGCAAAAAATTTCCTTCTAATCTCTAAGGCACAAGTAAATTTTTTGTGGGTTTTTGTCTGTTTTGTTTTTTAATAATTTCCATAATTTATCAAAACAAAAATATGATTTAACAGAGATATAACTTTCAGTGTCAATATTTAAATGTCTCCATTTGCCCCAATAAAATTCTTTATAGCATTTATTTCCTGTCTATGATGACTCACTGTCTTTCATTGTCATTTATCTTTAGTTTTGTTTCTTTTTAATTTTATATTGGTTTGCATATATCTTGTTTCATTCACAGACATTGTGTTCCCCCATTTATCTATGTTCAGTATTACTTGTGTTTTCAGATCCCCACTGGATCTTTCCCAAGTCCTTCACATTCTCCCACTACCCTCAAACTCTGCAACTTCGTGATTTTCCACCTCAAGTTCCCCTTCCTCATCCCCTTTTCTTTTCGGACTCTTATATACACTGTTTGTCCTTATGAGACTGGGTTAGTTAACTCAACATGTTTTCCAACCTCTACTACATTATGTAGTCTTTTTTTGTAATTGTTTTATTCCATTGTGTGAATGTACTAAAAGTAAGTTTTAATAGTAGATTTTTATTTTCTCAGTACTTGGCTATGTCCCTGGTTCTTTGCACTGGTCAGCTATAGTACATGCTAGTGACATCTGTTGAATGAAACAAAAAGCAGTGAATCCTAACTGCTAGGTAGCCCTGGGACACTATTGGGTTATTCACATTACCTATTAGAGTTTTGGAATTTGTTGTTAATATTAAGTGCTTGTGACCCTGTACAACATAATGAAACACTATCAGGAACTATACCAACTTTATGCCACTGTTAAATTTTAAGCCATTTCTTCTAGCCACTGTGTTAGTCCATTTTACTGATATTCTTCCTCTTTTCACTAGTCTTCTGCTTTAACAAGCATGAAGTCCTTCTCCAGAGACCAGTCCCTCTTGATACCACATCCAAAAAATATGTGAAACAATTGGATCAACGGGAAAAAAAAAATCCACCATGCTCAGTTCTAAGGAGCATTTTGGCTCACTTTGTCCAAGAATGATTTGTTTGCTCTTCTTGCTGTTCTGCATATTTTCACCAATTTACTATTTAATAATTTAAAAGCATCAAGTCTTCTTGGGTCTTTCTTACTCATTGCCCAGATCTTACATGCATATGAGGCAATTGAAAATACTGTGTCTGAAGATAGACATATGTTAGACTTCAAAGTGACATCTTTGTGTTCTAACTTTTTGTAAAGAACACATTAAATATTGATAGTTCAGTTTACATAATTAAACTAAAACTCCTGAGAGCTTTTAACTCCTGAAGCTTTACTCTTTAATGAATAATCTTTGATTCTAGAAGAATATTGGTTTTAAAATTCCACATTACATTGAAAAATCACTCATGAAGAAGAAAGATACAATGGGTAAATTTCTTTGCAAGGCACTAAGACTCACCCTCATTTTAAAAGTGCTAAAATAAAGAAACATGCTCTTAGTATAAAAATGATACAGTACTAATTGCAAGAAATTTGAGGTTTTTAAAAATTTTCTACAAACAACTCATTTATAAAATTCTATTTTAGTTTATATTTTTAACTAAACTAATTCATATTAAACTTTATTAAAATTTTAACTTTAAGTAAAATCATATTTTGACTGAAAATTAATTGAATCATATTTTTATTAGTATCTTCTTTTTTAACCAGTCTTCTCAGACTTTTTCATCAGTCAGGAATTTTTATTAAATAAAATACCTCATGCTTATCACCATACTGGGCACTATGGGAAGTATAAACACTAAAACAACAAAAATAATCATTTGCATAATCCTTGCAGAATATTTTCAACTTTCATTGTGTAAATTAATAAAAATTTTAAAATACCATTTTTCCATTTGTAGCATTAGAGAATGTTCACACGCACATATTTTAACCTATGGCTAGTAAATACTGGCCTTAGAGTACACAGTGTCAAAAACTGTTATCTTGTATATTTTGGTTTTATATGTACTGCTTTGTAGGGGAGTTGTAAGCTTGCTTTGTTATTGCTCTGATTGGTCATCAGCAACTCCAGGTGACCTAATTAGGGTTGTAATCTAAGAGAAAAATCTATAATCTTTTGTGGGGTTTTTTTTAATCTCTTTTTTTCTCTCCCTCTAGTGACTGAGATGCTGGTAAATGTCCTCAATATCTGCTCAGATGATGAACTTGGTTCAGAAGAAGATGGATTTGATGGTAAGAGGCTTGAGCTTTGTGTTAAAGCTATTTGCCGTATAATTGCTTGACGTCTCACTGTTAACCCCAATGATAAATTTTTAACATTTTCATTATGTTTCAATTATAATAAACTGTAAGTGTGGAGAGGCTGTTTTGTGGCCTTGTGGTAGGGAGTTTACGCTGCCAGCCCAAAGGCAGGTAATTTAAATCCTCCAGCTGTTCTGTGGGCAACAGATGGGCAATCTTCTCTTGTGCACTTGAGTCTCAGCAAACCCACTGGAGGGTCAGCTGCAAACAAACAACCCATCTGTTCTGACTCGATGGCACATAACAACACAATATTAAATATAGATAAGATTGTTTCTTTTCTTTTTGCTTTGAAAAAGCATAAGGCTTAGACTACATAAAAGTATGTTCCCATCATTTTGAAAACATTAGTGAAGTGGTACACGGAATTAACCATCTTAGAATGACACATATTTTCACTTCTTAGTGAAAGAAATAATCTTTTGTTATCTAGCAATTGATCCTTTGCTGGACATCTTTTAAAAATGCCTTTCAATGAGGGTTTTCATATCAATTTTTTTTTTCAAACTGTGACATCTATGATAAAAAAGAGAACATTTATGTATTGGTATATACGTTTTCAAGGAACCTCGGTGATTCAGGGGTAAGATCTTGGGTACCCTCACACAGCTGCTAATTGAACCCACAATCCATAATGTGAGAAAAGATGTAACTGTCTACTTCTATAAAAACTACAGCCTTGAAAACCCTGTGAGGCTATTCTGTATTGTTCCAAAGAGTCATTTTGTGTCACAGTTGATTGAAGGGTGATAAATTATTATTTCGTATTTAGTATTCATTTTAATTGCTACATTTTCCCCAAATTATAGTAATAAATAAACCTAAGCATTTTTGTTTTGTTTAAGAACATTAACAATATTTCACTTCCCTTAAGAATCTGGGATTTTTAAAAATAATGCACAGAGATTCATGAGACAAAAGATGGATAGAAGTAAAAGCATCCCAAATAATTGGAAGGTAATAAAACTGGTTACTGTAATAAATGCATAGCTTTCATAAACATTTAAGTACATTCTCTGTAGCAGGAGTGGCATCCATTTCCTAAACAGCATACCTCCGGAAGCTCTGTGAACTTTGATAAATGTCAGTAGTGGTAGCGGGGCTTCAGGCCATTTGTTCCTAGCGTTGCTATGAATCGTGCTCAACTCAAAAGCAATCAACAAAAACTGTACAGTGCGGGAGGAAGCACCTAGGATTTCACCATGAATTAAAAGATCCATTCCTTTAAGAATATTTAGGTATAAATAGTAAATAAAGGGTAAAAATAGCAAGAGAATTCTAGATATCCTGGGGAATTTAAATTTCTTAAAACTTCATAGAAGCAAATTAAAAGGGAATGTGGCCTTTTTAAAAGCTAGTACGTAAAAAGTATGATTACATATTTATTTGGATTTAATACAGGTCACATCTCTAAATGCAAAATACCTAATAACTGCAGACAAACGTAAGATAGAAAGATTCTTTGAATCACTTTATACAGTCTTTATATACTTAGATAAATTTAAAGTGCAGAACTTATTCCTACATTCTTATTTTTTTTTCTTTTCTATAACTTCTTTGACCTATTTATCTCCATAAGTTTTACTCACCTCACATTACAAGGGAATGTAGAATATGGGAAGGAGAGAATATGAAATATAGAAGAATTAATACAATTTTACTTTATAAGTATTTTTTAAAACTTAACTTACGCATATATATTAATATATTTCAAAATATTCAAGAAATCAATGGATATTTTATGTTTTATCTAGGTTCTGGGTGTCTCACATGTGTAACCTTTCTAGTAACCTTTCATTGCTAACCTTTGTAAGGCTAGAGATATTATTCAAAAGATAGTATTTCCATAGCTATAGGGACTTTTTCCTAGTGAACATCTAGCCAGATAGAACCTAAATTGCTAAAAGTCAACAAATTTTTTCCTAGAGACCTTTTACTATATTACTTTTATTCCTTGACAGAAAGAATAATGCATAATAATATATACACTCACCTAATAACAAAGCTCTATATTAACATCCAGTTAGCAAATGTATGTAGAATATAATAAAAGATACTATGTAGAATAAATAAAGCATATGTTTGTAATTATATATTCATTCATTCACGCTGCAGATACATAGTGAGTCTATACTATGTTCCAAATACTACAGCCAAAAAGCTTTTGCATTTCAACAATACAGGTAAACCTTGTGCAGCTAAGTTTTGCCAAGACTAACTGTATTTACTTTCTTTCTGATGAGCTGTCTTTACTCTTCCTTTCAGTCACTGACTTGAAAGGATCTATTTTGTAACTTACTCTGCTTTATCATAATGAGTCCCAGTTGCAGGAATGCAAGTCTTTTTTTAATTAATTTTTTATAAAAAAATACATATATATAATGCCACAAATGCCAATTAAAAGGTTTTCACATGTACAAATTTAGTAGCTGATTACATTAATTAGGTTGTGTAACTATCACCAATATCCGTTGCCAAATTTTCCGTCATCGTAAAAGACGCTCAGACAAGCACATGTCCTTTTACAGGCACACTTGGAAGAAGCTTTTCTTTTTAAGGAGACTGATAAAATCTCACTGTACCACCCTTAAGTCTGAGGTCAGTCCTGAAGAGAAATGTGATTTTGCTACACCCAGGGAAATATTCTGTTGTGTTAAAATTATAGGTGTTTTTGAATAGTCAGACATTTTCTGGCACACCCAGGGTCCTGCTGGGTAGAGTAGCATTTAAAGTATGTCTTAAATCTCTTTTGCTTAGCTTCAGCCTTACAAGTAAAGGAATTTGATAGCTGATCTAGAAAATGGTGCTGTTTTAAATTGGTCTGTGGTTCTTTTATCTTAAAAATAAATTGCAGTACTTGTGCTGTCTCATAAAGTTTGGAAATAGATTAATGTCAATTAGTATGCGTGAAGTTCTAATTTATATGTTTTGGAGTCTTTGTTTCCTATTCCACTTCTGATTTGGGATGATAAAATGACAGTCTGGTTTTAATTTAGGTTGTAACTCACTAGAGCATTTCGGAGTGAAGAAGTTCAAATAATGTATGTCACTTGGTAGTTAATCCTTGTTAATGAAGACAACTCAGTGCAATGCAATGTAAGGGTTAGTAATTAATCCCAAAGTAGGTTGAAAAGCTGACAAAAGCCAAGCAAACTGTATAACAAAGGTTTCTTTATTGCTCAGTATCATAATTACAAAGGAGAGAATAACAAGTAAACATTAGAAACCTACTGACAGATTCATTAGTTAGGAGTATTTATTTGAGAATTTCATTTGGGACATTTTTAAGGGTTCAAAATCATAGACTCTGAGATCACTCTTTTTTATTAACAAATTATGTCTGAGACTATGATACATGATAAGTCTGGCTAACAAAAGAGTTGTGAAGGTTAAACCAAAATCCTGTAGAATAAGAAGAAAGAAAAAAAATAATAAAACATATATTTCAAGCCAAATAGAGTTTCAGTCTGCCCTGGAAAGATTTAATATTAAATTAGAATTTATGTCTCTGCTTTCATCTAGAAAGCAAACCACATGGTAGAATTCATATTCTCTATTCATATTTTTTTACTTATCCTAATGTTAGCCACAGACAAGTCACTGAATATGAGATCAGGGTAGTTTTTTGCATGCCTCTGTGTAACCATCTAAATTGCATGCAAGAAAATTATCTCTCATCATCTGTTTTGAATTATTATATAATTATTCATATCTAATACCGTAGTATCCAGAATCTTCTTTTACTACTTTCTGTGTAGCTTTTAAAAGTCAAACAACTTTTCAAACTGTAAAGTTGAGAATTAATGATTAGTACCAAACTGCCCCTTAGGGAATACTTCTCTAAGGATTTCATTCTGTCACCCACTAAATCAGTATTTATCTGCCTTAATAAATACCTATTACAGTTTACCAGTTGGAATGGGAGCTTCAGTTTGGTGCCTTCAGGTCAAGTACAACTATAAAGACCCTGTGAACAGCAGATCTGAACCCTGTCATGTCCTGTCTTATCCTCACAATATCTGACATACTTTAGCCCATTTCAACAGTCAGTGTGTCAATCTATCTAGCTGAGGGTATTCCTCTACTTTGCTGACCTTCCACCTTTCCAAGCATGATATTCTTCTCCTAACAACATGTCCAAAATTTGTGACATGAAATTTATCATCTTGGCCTCCAAGGAGCACTCTGGAGTGCACCTTCACCAAGATACTTATTCTTTTGGCACTCCATGAGCTATTCAGTACACTTCTCCAGCACCACGGGTTTAAAGGCATCTGCTCTTCTTCTGTCATCCTTGTTCTTTGCCCAACTCGGATGCAATCAAGTAATTGAAAAGATCATGGTCTGAATCAAGCACACCTTTGTCCTCAAAATGGCATAATGACTCCTCAGTAATTTGTAGAAATCTGTCACTACCGACATTCCGAGTCCAGTAGATCTCTTGACTGCCATTATATTTCCTGATCTTCTGACTACTGTTACCAAGGGTGTTGATTGTGGACCCACAAAAGGTGAAATCACTGACAATTTCAATCTTTTCTCCATCATGATGCAGCCTACCTTGTTTCCTTGACATTGAAGTGTAATGTATATCGAAGTCTGTACTCTTTGACCTTCTGCAGCCAGAGCTTCAAGTCGCTGTCAAGTAAGATAGTGTCATCTGAATAACATAGGTTATTGAAGAGTCCTCTTTTAATCTATATGCCACATTCTTACTCATAAGACTCTATCTGCTTGAATAATTAATTTGCTTAGCATACAAATTGAGTAGGTGTAGAGAGAGGCTACAACCCTGACTCACATCTTTGTTGATAATAAATCATTTGGTATTCCCTTGCTCTGTTCCCACAACAATCTAAGTATAAGTTTCACATGAGCATAATTAAGTTGTTCACAGATTGCTGTTCTTCTTAATGTTAGCCATAACTTAT